TTTATGTTAATTTTTTTGTTATTTTTTACAAAAATATGGTTCATGCTTAAACCAAAATCACACAAGTCAAACTTTCAAATTTTATTAAGAATTTAGAAAAATTTTAAGAATTTTCATAAAATTTTGGGTATGCAGATACATACATACATCGGTTATAAAATTGTAGTAAAATAAGTGCAAGTTTTAAAAGGCTAAAGAATCGCGTTGATTTTTCTTGTTTCTGCTTACAAATTTTGCGTTTTTTGTATATAAAAGGGCAGTTTATAAAACTAAATCAACGCTTTTATAAAACTAAAACAAAACTTGCACTTATTTTACTAAAATTTTACAACTGATGTATGTATCTGCATACCCAAAATTTTTCTAAAAATTCGGATTAAAAAGTTCAAAATTTTGATGAAAGTTCTTAGAATTTTTCTAAATTCTGTATAAAGTTTGACTTGTGTGATTTTGGTTAAAGTATGAACCACATTTTTATAAAAAATAACAAAAAAATTAACATAAAAAATACTGCAAATATTCATCAAACATCACCATGCACTCACTTTTCATTTCCAGTGTATGTATGTGTACGTATGTACATAAAAAAATAAAAATAAGTCTTAAATTTTTTCTCAGATTACAAGGTACTTAAAACTTAAAAACTATTTTTCATTTAAAATGAGATCACTTATTAGCATTTGGTTGTTTTTGGAGATCCAGTCGCTGTTTTTCAATTTGATTTCTTTCTTGCAGCACTGTTAAAATTTGCGTACTGACGCTCACAAAGTTGTCGACAGCACGATACATACGTCTAAAACTTCTTTCGTTTTCTTTTCTAATTTTGATCAGCTCATCCCACTTCTCGTTCAGTTCCAACTTTATTTCGGCTTCCTCATCTAAAAATATCTTTAAACGTTGCCCTGTGCTTTCCACTCTTGGCCTTTTTGGGGTGCTACAAATAGTGGAAGGCTCCATTTGTCGCTTATTTGACGTTGATGGTAGTTCGTTTGGGGTGCTAGAAAAATTAGAGGGCTCCACTTGCCGCTTAGATGACGTTGAGGGCACTTCGTTGTTCGTTTCTTCGTTGAGAAGGTCCTTCGCAGATTCTGTTTGGCCAAGTGCAACGCCTGTAACATCATAGACCGATTGAGCAATTCCACATATACGTACAACCGATTCTTCTAATTGTGTTAGTTGGTGTTCGGTAAAGGGCCCACCACCAGTCGCTCGAGCTTCGCATTTGTTGTGTGATAATTTTTTTTTTTAAATTTCACTCTTCCATTCAGTCCACGTCTGAGAATAACAAAATTAATAGAACTCACATTGAGGCTGAATTTAACACCTACCTTCTTCCATCCATTAGCATCCTTTTGGGGTGGGCCTGCGCTATTTAGGGAATTTGTTAGCTCTTCCCAAAGAGCATTAAGAAGGGGCTTATCGCGTTTCGTGTAGCTTTTTGCGATATCGGGACTATTTTCCATGAATTCCACTATAATGGAATTTTGTACATTGTTCTTGTGTTTTCCCCTAATAATTAGAGATTAAAATACACATTTTAAATTAATTTACGTAATGTACTCACATATTAGCAAAATATCCACCAAGAAAGAACAAAACGCAAATACAATTCTGACAGCGATCAGCTGCTTGGTTTGTTTCCGATAAGCAAACCGATAAAATTAATTTCTATGACACCAAAAACCGATATTAATTCCGATTCGAACATCAAACCGATAATATCGGAATGCATGACACCAACGCGAATTTTTCATCGGTTTCAATTCCGATTCCGACAAGGTCAGTTTCCACAACAGCCCTGATAATATGTCTTTTGCTTTATTAAGACTATCAATCATGTGGTACGTAGATCCCCATCGAGTTGGGCAATCCAATTGGGGTAATTTTGATTGTTTTAATTCAAACACATCCCGATAATCGTTGGACGTCTTCCGAATGTATTTACACATGTTGCGACATTGAAGCAAATATCTTCTCATTTCTAAATTTTTGGTTACGTAAGTGGCGCAAAGTTGCGCAGTGTGTGCAGCACACCGGCATATTTGAATATCATCCATCCGAACATCATCTGCGTTTTCAAAATTATCAATATTTTTGGTGTACTCAATATTTTCTACTGCTGTATTTACATCAAAATCGTCCCCGCTATTATAAAAATGGGATAATATATTCGAAGTCTTTAGCATGTCTGCCCCATTGTCAGATGTTATTGACACAACTTGACTTAAATGAATATCATATTTCTCAAATACCGATAAAATTTCTTTTGCGAGATTTTTCGATGTATTTGCACCAACTCTCTTAAGTTCTGACATTACAAGAATCCGCGAACGTATTTCGTTATTAGTGATGAATTGGGCACTGATTCCGAAGATGTTCCTGGAAAGCCGAGTGGCAGTATTAATTTTCAAAGATATGAGACGATATTTCATTTCCTTTTGTATTTTAATTCTTATATTTTCTGTCACAAGTTTTAAAACACCCTTGCATTTATTAACATTTAAAATAAAAATTTTTCCGCACTTGTCTTTAAAGCCTTGGCAAATGGGATTGATTATGTTTTTCATATTTTGTGAGTTCAATACAATATATAAGACCGAATCAATTCTTTTTTATTAACTTTAACTTTTGTCGTCTGGTGCTTAATAGTTCTAATAGAGCCAACACTGCAGGAGGGCAATGTTTGTCATTTTCTACACATACTTTATGGACTTGTAATAAATGCTTTCTTAAATTAAATGTTCGACCGGTTTTTTAAATTTTATTACAAGTTTTACATTTAAGGTTTCCATCGTCAGGGGGATCAAAATATTTCGAAATTTTAAAAGCGTTTTTCCGTGATGACATGTTTAGTTATTAGCTCGCAAATTTGTATTAAAAGAACGGGTACGACATTCACTAATAATTGCTGTTTGTTATTATCCTTCTTCTCTATGGCCAAACGGAGCACAAGTAGCAACTCCGGGAGCAAGAGCAGAGCGATAGCACATCAATAGCAATAGTGAAATTTTTATTTTGTTGCTGTGCTCCGTCTTGCTCTAGTTCTTTCTGCTACTGCTCCGGCTACAAATAGCAATTCGTTCGTTTTGCTACCTGCTTCGTGGTGCAACGCGACGTAGCACGAAGTAAAACAAGAAAGATGTCGGTCCGAACATGGTATTATACTACATATTTGTAACAAAAACAGTTTACTGACAGAAGGAAAGAGACCTTTGTTTCTTTCCAAAAATAAAATTAAACAAATATGTTTACCGGTGAAGTAATAAAACAGCTTTCTCGCTTTATATTCTGAAATTCGGCAGCCGTATAGGCAAATTTACAAATAAGGCAGTGTCAAAATCTTTCTTCTCTCTCTAATATTACTTCACCTGGTATTATACATATTTCCACCATGGGTGGGGTGCATGCAATAACACCATACGCAATAATTCCCATTACTTGAACATTAAAAATCATTTTCAGAAGTGATAACTAGTGTCATTTTATTATTATTCTGTTTTCCAAACGGTTATAATGTCACTAGTTCAAAATTGCGAAAGGAAGGGAGGGGGCCGGGGGACGAGAACGCACTTTCAAAATTGTAGACTTACAAATCCGTCCATTCTGTGAAATATAACTGGGTGATGTGCACTATTTTGCTTTATTACTCCATTGTTAATTTTAAAAGTTGGTCTAATTGCTCAACGAGAAATAAAATAAAGCAAATTTGTGTTATTTCACATTCAATTAGGAAATAGTACAAATTTGTGCTATTGCCGTTTGTGTTATTTTACCCTCTCTCTTATAGCGCTTTTACGTTATTTAGAAAATTGCGCTCTGTTAGTCATAAATTTCATTGTGTTTTGACCGCCCTTGTATCCAGACACCTGGACTATCTAGAGAGTTTATTTATATTTTAAATTGAAAGTCTGTAGCTTGTCGGGAAATTAGTTTATAATCGACTGGAATTTTCCAGGGGATGAGCAAGTTAAATAAAAGCTTGTAAAAAAATACGAAATGATGCCTAGTATTGTGAATAACCAGGGAACGGATTTTATGGAAATTGCCTTTTTTCTGCTAAAGTGATAGAGTTTATTCAATTAAGAATATTTACGATTTAGCTTTCCCTGATTCCATATATGTATACTCATTTGATGTTGCCTTTTTTAAGATATTTGCCTTTTTTACCTTTAATTGTAAAAGGCAAGGAAAAAGGTTTATTCCTAGTAATATGAAAGTTTGAAAGGTTCCATATTTAAATTGGACGCCACTTCTATCAACTCACGTCGAGCGAACGTTTACTATATTCAAGGCTTTTCTTCGCAAAAATCGAATGAAAATGCTGCCAGAAGACTTCAAAATGCAACTTTTGGGCCAATGTTACTACAACTATAGAGATTTAAGTTTTGTTATTTAAAAACTCGAAAAGGGAAAATAGTCAAAGTACAAGTTTTTCATATAATGAAACTAGTTCATAGTTTTTTCTTTTTACTTTGAAAATAAACATTTCTAAAATAATATTTTTTTTTTAAATTTTGGGATTTTTGTCTTTTTTTGGTGCCTTCTTTTGCCTTTTTTGCGCATTCTAGTGCCTTTTCCCCTGGCTATTTTGCTATTTTATTTTGCCTTTTCTAGCGTATTTCGTTATTTAATTTAGCCTTTTTATAGGTTTTTGGGTCCTAAAAATCCATTCCCTGTTAATAGCATATTGATTTTCTTCCTCAGGTCACCATCGACATCGAGGACGTCAATGACAATGCGCCCGAATTCGAAACGAACTTGGTACGCATATCCGTGCCAGAAAATGTTGAACTCGACACTCCACTTTATGCGGCGCATGCACACGACAAAGACTCTGGAAAAAGTAGTGAGATCACTTACATGCTACATTTGCTCTCCACCGATTACCACTATTCAGTACAACAGCAACAACAATACTTTAGCAACGCAAGTACCGTAGCACAAATTCTGTCGCCTCGGCCAACTCTAAACACCTTCACAGGTTCTCCGACAGGGGCGCTAGCAACACGCAATCGCATTGCAACCGCAGGAACATCTGAATATGCTGCAGGTTTTCCCTCGCTTTCCAACTCCTTACCGGGTATGGGATTAACTTCTACCATAAGTCGTAGTGCTATGGAGGAGAATAATTTTTTCGCAATCGATGCACGCACCGGCCACCTAACATTGTCACGACACCTTGACTATGAAACAGCACTGCGGCATGCATTGATTGTGACAGCTACGGATAGCGGTAAACCGCCCTTATCGGCGAACCTCACCATACTCGTGGAGGTTCAGGATGTTAACGATAATCCACCGATGTTTGAACGCAGGGAATATTCAGTGAAGGTGTTGGAGTCATTGCCTATTAATTCTCAGGTAAGCAAAGAGTCTGCTTATATATATTTGTCAAAGAAACCAAAACAAAAATCAAATTAAAAAAAAAAAACTTTTTAAACATACCACGTTTCTATAAATTGAGTAAAAAGTATAAAATAGTTTTTCCTACACCTACAGAAATTGGTTTGATAAGTTTTCATTTCTAAATTTTAGCAAAAGTCACTCACGGTAGTGTAGAAAAATATTTAATCCAACATGAAAACCACTCACAATATTGTTGCAGAATATCAAAAGTCGATGTTTCAGTAATCATCACCGATCAAAATTAAAATTGTATCTTGGTAACTTTTCAAGAAAACAGTGATTTTATATAATTCATGTTGATTTGCTTGACCTTGGTTTGTTGGTCCAAACAGGAATCTCGATTTACGGTTGTTGGTTAGCTCGTTTCCAATGGGATGGTGACAAGAAAGTGGCTGACTTACGTGTGATGATTTTGGATTACCGGCGTATGTTGGTTCAACTGCTGTCCAATGAATAGACTAGATTTTGCATTCAAAACTTCTTTATCTTCACCTGCACAACTTGGTTGGGGTTTTGCCGGAAGGAATGTGGTGGAACCTTTTGCCTTTTACTAAACCTGATACATGAAAAATCGGGAAAGGAATAGCACGATTACTGTTATACGCTTACATAGTTGCAACACAATAACCACAAAGTAGCATGCATATCCGGCGTATATTTATTTAATACATTTTGATAAACTGCACGTTTTGCGCATTCAGAAATTCTAGCGTGAGAACGATCGCAAAGCTTTTCGTTTATACAGTATATTTTGCTTTGCTCACTTTATGCTTAAGTGCACATTTAAGATACCTACCCCAAAATGCGCATCAGAGGCATTATTTTTAACATTTATAAGGAAACTGCTCGGATAGATGCATTCAACGTACCTGCACATTGGCGTTACCTGCCTTATAAATTGTGCAACTAGTATCAATTATCAAAGAAAGTATTACGTTTACCTGCACTGGCCCTACAATTACCTTATTTTGCAAGCTTTTATTAATTTTACTCATCTCGCAGAAAAACGAAAATAGCTATCAATTTATGTAGTTATATAGATAATTAGATACCATTCGGTAAAAATTTCCCATTGCAGTAATTTCTACGTGGTAAGTGCTTCTCCATTATGTGGTTTCATAGGGATTCGTATACCTCCCTCATTGAAGTAGTAAAAAAAATTCGCTTAAGTGCCTTTTTCGGTTAAGTACACAAGTTTTTCGTGTAAAGAAGGATGTGCAGCTAGGCAGAATATACTGTATTTTAAATCTGCAGCGTAAGCGTCTGGCTCCTTCTTCAAAGAATTAGGCTTAACTTAAAAATATGTGATGAATAAAGTTCAGTTGAATTTAAAGCTTAAATCAAGACGTTGTCACTTCATGGCGATCCTGCCAGTGACATGAACAGTGAAAAGAAAAATATATAAATATGTGATTGAAAGTGGGACATAATAATATATTATATTGAGTGAAGTTTCTGCTAGTACCAACATCAACGTCACAAACGAACAATCAAGATTACAATCATCATCTACGGAATCAACGTGTTGTGTGTGTAAAACGGCATCCATATAGGCATACTATACTCACGCGCTGAAATCAGCATGTTGCATGTTTGAAACTGCATCAACATATATTAGCGCTGAAACCAACGTGTTGGGTCTATAAATGTCAAAGTCGTTACAAGAAAGATCCTGCTGCGGGACCACGGCCGTTGTCCATTCAAGAATACAGGGCAAGGCAACGGTCACAACAAATTAAAGAGAAACAACAACAACGATAACAAGAAAAGAAAACGGCAATACCGATCGTGCGTCCACCTAGGAGAAGAGGTGGAAAAAGGAATAAACAGCTACGGCGGCGAGCGCATCTAAAAGAAGAAGTCCAAAGGAAGCACACCCCAGAAGAGCTGAAGGAGATCTTTAAGGAGTTGCTGGAACTGGAAAAGGAATTGGCAAGCAGAAAGAAGACGTCTAGCAAAGGAGTGCTGAATAAGCACCCTATGTAAAAAAAAATATATATATATTTTTAGATTTCTCTTGCAACCGTTGCGAAAACGCAGTTTGCAAGGAAATCAAACATATAATTCAGTCTCACACATAGGGACGATAGGTATTACAAATGAAATTATTGTAAATAATTTACCCTTAAAATTTTTCAAAAATTTTTAATAAAAAGTAACTAAAAAGGTAGATTTGTGTAAAAATTTAATGTGCAGAGACTGAAATAAATTTAAAATACTTGTAAATTCAAGAGAAAAGAAGAATATAAGAAGTAGGTCAGTACATATTTAGAGAAATTAGGCAAATAGTCAAAGCGAGAACTTAAACTTAAACTGCATAGACGCATATGTAAGTGCGGAAGAAGCCAGTGCATTGTTTGTTAGAGGTATAGGAAAATATATAAAAAAAAAATAAGAAAAAATTTTTATTCCTTTGCTTTAGGAAAATATAATAGGGAAAACAGAATCAAAAGTCGCCGATAACAACGGCAACGTTGTAAATGAAATCGAAATAATAGAAACGCCAAAAGCAACTAACGTTTTGCTAACTAACTTGCTTTTAACAATTGTTCTGACAAAATCTGCCTACGATCTGTACCAATGCACAGTGGCCAATTTTTGGAAAACCCTGGCCAAAAGTCCAAAAAAATTGATGCATTCGTATGCATAACCATCCTATATTGTTAGGAGGGCTCTATTGCGTATCGTTATGAGACAACAAGTCGATTCGAGGCTNATTGGCAAGCAGAAAGAAGACGTCTAGCAAAGGAGTGCTGAATAAGCACCCTATGTAAAAAAAAATATATATATATTTTTAGATTTCTCTTGCAACCGTTGCGAAAACGCAGTTTGCAAGGAAATCAAACATATAATTCAGTCTCACACATAGGGACGATAGGTATTACAAATGAAATTATTGTAAATAATTTACCCTTAAAATTTTTCAAAAATTTTTAATAAAAAGTAACTAAAAAGGTAGATTTGTGTAAAAATTTAATGTGCAGAGACTGAAATAAATTTAAAATACTTGTAAATTCAAGAGAAAAGAAGAATATAAGAAGTAGGTCAGTACATATTTAGAGAAATTAGGCAAATAGTCAAAGCGAGAACTTAAACTTAAACTGCATAGACGCATATGTAAGTGCGGAAGAAGCCAGTGCATTGTTTGTTAGAGGTATAGGAAAATATATAAAAAAAAAATAAGAAAAAATTTTTATTCCTTTGCTTTAGGAAAATATAATAGGGAAAACAGAATCAAAAGTCGCCGATAACAACGGCAACGTTGTAAATGAAATCGAAATAATAGAAACGCCAAAAGCAACTAACGTTTTGCTAACTAACTTGCTTTTAACAATTGTTCTGACAAAATCTGCCTACGATCTGTACCAATGCACAGTGGCCAATTTTTGGAAAACCCTGGCCAAAAGTCCAAAAAAATTGATGCATTCGTATGCATAACCATCCTATATTGTTAGGAGGGCTCTATTGCGTATCGTTATGAGACAACAAGTCGATTCGAGGCTTTTAGTGTTACAGGAGATCGAAGTGACTGTTGCTAGCAATTCGTTCTAAACTTTTTGTAAATTAGAGTTTTCGTCGTTGTTAAAATGGTGGTATTATCTTTAAAAAAATAACAGTTTTCAAGTATCCGCTCATGGACATTGTAATCTAGAGTATGTAAAATATGTTTTTTCATTGTCACGCCATCTAAAAACTGACGTAGGACGTAGATATTCACGGATTGTTTTTTTTGTTTACTCATTATGATGGATTAGGAAAATAGTTACGAGAGTGGTCGAGATGGGCGGTCTAATTTTCTTTTTCATATATATTGAAGTTTTTCCCATCCACCTTGGTTAAAACCACCTGCCACAAGCCGCCACTGTAGTTTGGACATCAGTTTTTATACGCGATTCTTAATTTTTTTATGTTTAAAAGATTTAAATTATGTAAAAAATTATTTCTGTCAAGATTTTGATGTTTTAAAGATTGGATGTTTTTAGAATTCCAATGATGTCAGAAAGTACTACTATATTAGAGTGCTCATACATGGGCACCCCTGCCAATTTGGCAACTTTCCGAAGAAGCCCAAGAGTCAAGGAATAACGATATTAAAAAATATCTNAATGCACAGTGGCCAATTTTTGGAAAACCCTGGCCAAAAGTCCAAAAAAATTGATGCATTCGTATGCATAACCATCCTATATTGTTAGGAGGGCTCTATTGCGTATCGTTATGAGACAACAAGTCGATTCGAGGCTTTTAGTGTTACAGGAGATCGAAGTGACTGTTGCTAGCAATTCGTTCTAAACTTTTTGTAAATTAGAGTTTTCGTCGTTGTTAAAATGGTGGTATTATCTTTAAAAAAATAACAGTTTTCAAGTATCCGCTCATGGACATTGTAATCTAGAGTATGTAAAATATGTTTTTTCATTGTCACGCCATCTAAAAACTGACGTAGGACGTAGATATTCACGGATTGATTTTTTTGTTTACTCATTATGATGGATTAGGAAAATAGTTACGAGAGTGGTCGAGATGGGCGGTCTAATTTTCTTTTTCATATATATTGAAGTTTTTCCCATCCACCTTGGTTAAAACCACCTGCCACAAGCCGCCACTGTAGTTTGGACATCAGTTTTTATACGCGATTCTTAATTTTTTTGTGTTTAAAAGATTTAAATTATGTAAAAATTTATTTCTGTCAAGATTTTGATGTTTTAAAGATTGGATGTTTTTAGAATTCCAATGATGTCAGAAAGTACTACTATATTAGAGTGCTCATACATGGGCACCCCTGCCAATTTGGCAACTTTCCGAAGAAGCCCAAGAGTCAAGGAATAACGATATTAAAAAATATCTGCTGCTTGTATCCTCGGACCCTGTCATTTCAAGTTTACGTTTAAACCCACCAAAACAAAATCATAAACTGTCGTCAGATGCCATTAAATTATTATCAACTGTTGTAAATGCGG